CACACACACACACACACACACACACACACACACACACACACACACACACACGTGTCATGATGCAGTGGTATCTGGCACTCACTAGTTTTTGGGGCGTATGGAGTTATTGTTCTATTATTTTGCTTTTAATGAAAAATATACGCGGCGGAAAAGGGACAACCGCCCTCCTGCACAAAACCTTCAACAACTCTTGGGTTACCTCGTCCAGGAGTGTCAGAACCTACTGCAAAAAGTTCCATGTCCTTTCCATGCGTCGTCGCTGTGCAGAGTGTTTGGTCCATTGGGGTGGCTACACCCACTATTGACAATATTCATAAAGAACTAAGGCTGTTCACACTTTTGAAATCCGACTAGTGGGATTTAAACTCCTTTTACATGCACTTCTCGTTGTTGTTGAATTCTGGAATTATACACACTTAATCTAGAGAGTTGAAAGCATGTTTTTAAAAAAAAAGAATAAATTTGGTTAACTTACTTTTCAGTTATCTTTCTTAAAAATTTTTTTCTCGAGTTTTTATGTTTCAGGACGTGGTGAAATCGGCGGTGAGGTCGCCTGGTTTCAGATGTAAAATTAGCAAGAAAATAGCCACCAAACTTTAGTGACTTCAATTTTTTGATCATCCACCTTTTTTCTGCATTTAATCAATGCTTTTTTTTGTAAATTCCACATAGAAATGTGTTTTTGAATGGATAAAAAACATGTCAAACCAAAAACCAACAATTTCATAAAGATTGCCATACCGGTGGAAAAATGCCGGTATCTTCGATTTTATTATTTTGACGAGCGCCTAATTTCACCACGATGCCTCACATATTGTTATAGAATGATGATAGAGTGAGAAATATTTACTGAGAGAGAGAGTGCTGTTCCAGGTGATGTCCTACTCTGCCATGTTGTTTGAGCTGGTCAGTATCCCCCACAACCAGATCCCGTACATTGTGGTCGCCACTGGAGTTATCAACGTACTCTGCACCATCGTTGCTGTAAGTCTATCAGTCTGTCTGTGTGTCTGTGTGTCAAGGTGGTTGGCGGGAGCTCTGGTGTGGTTTGCTCCTTCTTTCCTATCAAACATCTATCGTCCTTATCTCCCCTTCTTCTTTTTTATGTTTGTTACTCTCTTGTAACACCTCTAATCTTCTGGCTTTCATATGACCTTATGCAGTTGCGAACGCCGTAAAACCTCGATTAAAACTTTTAAAAAAAACACACACAAAAAAAGAGTTATATGAGTGCCACTGTTTGTGCATCCACAGGAAGCGCGGAATGATCGTCATCACCTTCCTAATGTTCATCGCTGCCTTGCTCGGAGGCATAACTCTGGCGGTCAAGTCGCCGGAATGCCTTATCCTTTCCCGGGTCCTCGTGGGCTTACACTCAGGTCAGTGCTCTTTGTATCATGTATGTTGCAATGGGTGTGTGTGTGTGTATGTGTGTCTGTGTGTGTGTGTGTGTGTGTGTATTTGTGTGTGTGTGTGTATTTTGTGTGTGTGTTTGTATCTTGTGTGTGTCTGTATTGTGTGTGTTGTATATGTGTTTTGTGGGTTGTATATGTGTGTTGTGGGTTGTTTGAATGTGTGTTTTGTGTGTTGTTTGTATGTGTGTTGTGTGTTGTTTGTATGTGTTGTGTGCATATCGTCCTTTCATCTGTCTGTATGTTTGTTTGCATTTCATCCATCATCTGTCTGTTTGTGCATTTGTATTCTGTCCATTTGCCTCTCTGTTTGTTTGTATTTCGTCCATTCATATATCTGTCCGTTTGTTTGTATTTCATCCATTCATCTGTTTGTTTGTCTGTCTCTCCCCACCAGGTCTTAACATCACCCTGTGTCCGTTGTACCTGACGGAGATATCCCCCAAGAAGATCCGTGGAGCGGTAGGCACCTGCCATCAATTGGCCATCACTATTGGCATCATGGTCTCACAGATTTTGGGAATGGTCGAAATACTCGGTACGTTTTAGCGGGTGCTCTGGTGTGGTCTGTTTCCTCTTTTCAATCAAACATCTACTTTCCTTGTCTCTCTTTTGTGGGTGGTTGGTGGGTGCTCTGGTGACGTTTGAGATGGTTGTCTGAAAGGGAGGGTGCGGGGATAGAAAGGTGAGGTGAGGTGAGTGGGGAAGATCTGAAGAAGGGAGATAGAGAAGAGGGAGAGAGAGACGGAGAGAGAGAGACAGACAGACAGACAGACGGACAGACAGACAGACAGACAGACAGACAGACAGACAGACAGACAGAGACAAAGAGTGAGAGAGGGGTGGGGAAGGAAAGGGCATCAATTGTACTCTTCAAAACAATAAAATTTGTATAGCCCACAAAACAGCCGCTGTAGTTAATAAAAAGCATTGTTTTTCATTTAAGACATTTAGTTTATCTAGAATTTCATCTTTTGGTCCCTTCTGTAAGATTCCATAGAAATAGTGTATTCTCTTGTCAGTATGTTCGTGTTTTAGAGCCTTTAAATGGCAGCTTGCTCTCTATACTTCCCAGGAAATTGAGAATGTTTCAGAATGCTATCAGGTCTGCTGGGGTACCGTAATAGTATGGATTGTAAAGCACATAGAGCTTGCTGTTGAGCGGGAATTTTAGCTGTACGAATGCTATCTATTTCTTACATTTTTTCAGGCACCGCAACCCTGTGGCCATACCTTTTTGCCTTCAACGCCGTCCCTGCGTTGTTGTGCTTGGTTTGCATGCCCATGTGTCCTGAGAGCCCGAGGTTCTTACTCATCAAGAAGGGAGAGGAGGCTGAGGCCAGAAAAGGTGAGGCCAGGTCATACATTTGTTTACACATATATACATAGAGGCCCACCCTCATGTACTCATACTTACACACACACACACACACATAAACGCACACAAATACATATGTGAATACATACTCACGTACACACACACATGCATATGTTTCAACACACACAGACATACATACATACACACACATACATATACACACATAGTGACATACACCCTCTGACGAAATATTTCCAATGATACACATACACACACAGAAACATGCAGTAAGTCGCAATGTGTATATATATGTGTGTGTGTGTGTGTGTGTGTGTGTGTGTGTGTGTGTGTGTGTGTGTGTATTATACTAGCTGGGCCCCCTTTTGATGATTTCAAGGAATGATCAGTGCATTAGCATCAACTAAAAGTCATTGTCCTACTGTATTAATTTACTCTACTGAAATTGAGCAATAAAAAAGCGATGATGGACATCAAACGAAAGGATCACAGTCAAATTTAGCACCAAGTAAAAAAAGAAAACATGAGGCAAGATCTAAAAGGGTCGCACGTTTAAAATAGTGCTCAGTATTGCGCGACAATGCGCAATAGTATAGAACGGAAGTACGACTTGAAATAAACAAACCTGGCGGATTTTCTAAAATTACAGAGACAGAAGCGTCGGCCTAAAAAAGCAATCAGCGAAATAAAGAAATTTAGCTTTTTGCAACAAAATTCTCAAAAACTTTAAAAAACGAAGGAGGTCATGATCTGGAGAATATTTTAAAGAATCTTTTGGCGAAAACTGCATGTTGATTGATGCAGCCATTAGAAAGCCTTTTGAATAGCAAAATTCGC